ATTAGATCAAGCACCTTCTGATCAACAAACGGTTCCTTATCGTCTTCATTCCATGCTCTGATCGATGTCAATTTGGTAAAAACGCTAAAATTTTGGCGAGTAAAACAACACTTTTTTGTTGATCGTGGAATCAGAACATCTATCAGATTCAAAACCTAATCAGTGATCTGCGTTGGAGGACTTTTCCAAAAAAAGTTTCAAGTTCAAGGCGGTAGTCGAAGTCAAATTTAATAAATGATTTTACAGACTAAACTGGTTGCTAGATAACGTTAATTAAAGCAAATTTCCAACTAAGTGACTACAATAGGATGCCAGGTGGGCAACGATTTTGAATTTTGGAATTCTGATAAACCTCCAGCAGAGAAAACCAAACCTGAATGAATTACTCCATCATTAGGATGACAAGCGATATTAAAACATGAACTGTGGCGAGAGTTTAAAGGAGGTACCACGGCAAATGCATGTTCTAAAGAGTACATGTAGAAACGAATGATGCAGCAAAATTACGTTGTAAAGCGCTAAATGTAGGAATTGTGGCAATTCGATGACCGCTGAACCATTCGACTCGAGAATACATTCGAGTTTGTCAATTTCTGTACATTCTAGGCTTCGTGCCAGTGTTTCAGCTTCGCAACAAGATAACCCTAGTCTAAAACATAATTGCATGAGAAAATTGCTTGAGTCAAATAATGGCCATTCAAGTTGTTTTCGTTGAGATGGTGATAAGAATTTTTTCGTAGGCATTTGAAAGACCATTAATTTGATTATAGATGTAGCATTTTAACTGCATTTTCTTCATAACAGCGACTGCGCGCTTAGGCTTTTTTCGATATTTGAATTCGGGACAATATCTTAAGTTTTAGTCCAATGATTCGTCTCAGAAAGGGCAGATCAGTTGCCTTTATAGGACATCGAATCTATAACTAATGGATCATGATTAATGACCTTTGGCAATCATCAGGATGAAGTTCATCTTGAGCACAGACATCCCAGCTTCAGGTTTACATCTGCTTTAATGTCAGCGATTCGGGATAAGTTCTGCCGAAGGTTACTAGCTATTGTAATTTCTCGGTCTATCCTTCCCTCCCGTCTTTTATCTCTCTTTAATACGTACTCCGAGGTATGTAGATTTCAACACCTGCTCCAAAGCGCTACTATTTATCTGCAAGGATCAACATGAACGAGATGGAAAACGTATTGGTCTTTCGGTTTGAGACACGTTGAAACGCACGCCGGCCATAATGCAGTCACCCATGAAGCCCTTTAGAATATTCTGCAAATCAGTTTCGGAAGATTACAAGGAATCAACTTTGTCAGCAAACAGTTGGTTTATCGCTGCCATGTATCCAAACCTGATAAATTCGTCGCCCAGGTTATGTCTGACTGCTCTATCAATACACCACAGACAGAAACGTAGCCAAACCTAGCAATTCATAAGACTGCTACTAACGCGAAGAAGTCTCGACATAACATAACTTGACCTACTTTCAATAAACCATGACTAGTTAACTCGTAGCAATTGGTCATTAATTCCATTTGCTTTTTAGCATGCTCAGTGGTTGTTGAGTGAAATCTAATGATGAACTACAACAGAGCGCATGTAAGCCGAATGAGCCCACTCCGAAGACTTCAGCAACTTTGAGAAGGGCGTAGATACGATTACGGATGTTTCATTCTTACCTGAAGCACACTGTTCTTCATGTATATTACAGTAAGATATTTGGCATCACCACTGTTCTAATTGTTTTGTGCAGACGTTCTTCCGGAAACTCAGTGTGATAATGCAATATAAATTGCCGCAGTTTGACTCCAGAAGCATTAAAGATATTCTTGTTCTCATTTGTACTTTCATCTCATTTGACCTGTTAAGTTGGTTTGGCTCCTGCTAAATTGTAAGGCCACGTAGACAGAATGCATAAAAGTTCATTTCATTAGGTCTTCTAGAAGTATTTTTTACAATAAATTGTTTCCAATCGCAACTTTAATTGCCGTTCTGCTTTCTTTTATTATATGGTTATCATCTATTGTTGATTGCTCAATAACAAAAGAGCCCAAGGCGATGGAATCATATCATGGTTATGAAGAAACAGGCTATGTTGTGTCTGTTATCTTGACACTTCACACGATCAATTATTTTCTCCATCTGCTGCCTATGGCTTTTTACGGAACCTTGTGATAGACAGCCGGAAGATGAGTCACCAACTAACGAATGCCGATCAATGTGTAACATCACGTATATATCTATTTGAGAGAACATACGATATCCCTAAAATTATGCATACTGCAGCTATTTTCGCATTACTGTAATTTGGCGTAATCTGTTTACGCATCTTGATATTCGAATGAAAACAAAAAGCAAACGGTCTCAGTTCCACAGTTAGACCAGCGTCATCCGTTCCTAAAGATTTTTTCAATGAATGCAATATTTCTGGATAAATTGGTATCTCAAAATCACGTTGATAGAAACTAGCACCCGCTTCACGGTTCCGAGCGGCTTCGCCGAGACGTCATACAATGCGAAACACTGTCCTTAGTCTAAATGCCATTGTATCCGATAACTATGAACAACTGAACTTGCAAATCTTTCTATTCCTTTCTGTATGAAAAAATAATGACAAACGGCCATAAATTCAGCTGTTTTAGTTTTTATGTATTGCAGAAATTTCGCTTTATTGCGTAGCTCGGTTATTTTCCAATTAAAAATCGTTTTCCTGGCTCAAAACTCTCAGGAGTTCATGAACACGGATCAAAAACTGTTTCGTCTAAATTGTCCTGCGGTTTTCAGAACCACCAAAAAATTCTATTGGCATTTTCGAAAGCCAGTGGTTTGGTAATAAACCCATGATACTGGGGATAATTTTATTGTGTATACCTGTATATGGGGATGTATCCAATGGTGTCTGTGTTGTTTTCGACCAAAATAATGCTCTGCTGCATGCACTACAAGGTCTAAACTGCGTTGGAGCCCTGGTCTGGTTAATCATTTTTAGGCTGCTAAACAGGGGACGGCGCAGTTACGGCGTGTGAATCTAGACTGTTGTTTTTCTGGCCATACTGAAGACTATTAGTTCGCTAGTGAACCAGTATTATCGCGGTAAATTTAAATATTCCTGATTTTAGGAATTTCATGTCCTTTCTTTTTGTGGTAGTACTAAAAGAATAAAAGTATTACTTGTACCATAATTGTATGTGAGTTTATCAGTACAACTGGTATGGAAGATAGTTTATACCTAGTCTTCAGTTGTTCGAAGCTAGGAAAGAGACAGACAGAAAAAGCCACTGTACGGGAATTTGTTCCTAGTGGCCTAGAGGCTGAGAGGAAGCATTTATCGCGTCACCGTATTTAATTCAAATTAGAATTATAGCAATTATTTCCGTGTCTTGTTTTATAGCGTATCTGTTTTGAAAATCAAAACGCTTCGAAAGGCTGCAAATGAATAGGTAGTCTTCCAGTGCATTACTCTATCAGTAATTTGATCAAATGGAATACCCAAGAGCATGAAGAAGAATTCGTCGAACGGTTCAGTGGCAGAAGCCTATAGTCACAATTTGGTTCTATTCCACTGAGCCTCAGTTGTTGCAGTTAAAGCAACAGACGACGAATCATGAATCAAAAGCTTCCATCAAAGATCTCTACCGTCATCGATTGCAAACAGGGTGCTGTTCGAGCTGTTCGTTTTAATGGTACGTGTGTATGATTGATTGTGATTTCAGTTTGGTTTAAAGCGCTATCATTTACTCGAATGGCAACGGTTTTCATATTCTTTATTTGCAGCGGATATCTTAGGAATGTTAGAGGAATAGCTATGCAGTTGAAGAGATCTTCACATATCTTCAAAGGGTTTTCGATCTGTCATAAATAGTTGTTTAGGATTTTATTAAGTGAGACCCTCGTTGATATAAAGCAATGCTAGGCAAGAGACAATTAATCGCTGGTGAACAAATCGCTTAACAAAAATTTCTTCACTTCGGCCCTCCTGTAGTCAGCTGTCCTGAACTGTACTCAGTTCATTATTCAGTTGCTTAATTGTTTGTTATTGATAATAAAAGTTCTTGACGCGACAGTAGCTTTTATGCTTGATTGATTTCTGATGGTCCATTAAATTACTTTCTTCTTTCTTCTGGCGCTTCTTTTCGTTTACAGGTTTCATCGTTCTAGGTTTGACCTTACAGAAAATGTGACAATAAACAACGAACCTATTACCACTGTTTAGATAGCTTGCCCTGCACCCATCATCCCATATCCTGTCAGTAGTACAATGTCGTGGTCTGTCGTGGCTGCCGTCAAATCTACATCTTACCAACCTTTCTACCCCTCATGCATTCTGCCTTGGCAGCTGTGAAATTTTACGTATCTCAGTGATCGTAAAGTCATTTCCGGTTCAACTATCTGAATCTGCTTTTGGCAGAATCTTCCGCGTCAGACAGATTGAAGATTAGAGAACCGGCTAGAAGCGTTGTGCCTCTGGCTGTACAATGGCTAGCGCATGCAAAGCTGATCTTATTGTATGGTTTTTCGCACTTGCTTAAAGAATGAAGTACTGAGAGCTTAGGCTGAGCAAGTACTATATAAGCTGTTACGGTCGTTCCACCCCTCTACATGAACCTTTGTTAATGTGTGACAACCTTCCTAGTTGTTGCGTATCCTATCGATAAATCTGTGATCTGTTTAAGACGCTTGTCGAAGAAGCATGAACTTTTGAAATGACACCAGGACGCTCTGGATGAAGTGGAAAAGTTAACCGAAAGAAATGTTCGGCTGTTAAAACGGATAAATGAATCGTTGCCAATGTGGCATCTTTTGATACTTCTTGGTGAAGGGCTTTCCATCGTTTTCAATATGTGAAACATTTCTTGAATGTAGTGTTCTGCCTAGTTTCCTGCTTCTTTTGACCTTCTATTATGTGTTCTTCCCTATTCATCCTAAACGTGTTCAGTTTTCATCATTCATAATCTTCTTTAGTTGACGGCAATTACTGTGTCACTTGCGGGGCTGACAAGACGTTGAAGCTTTGGAACCCGGCACGACCTGATGGTGCACTTCTGTTGAAGACCTATTTCGGCCATGGTTACGAGGTACTGGATGCCGTCTGTTCGTCGGACAGCGCTAAAATTGCCTCCTGCGGCAAAGATAAAAACGTTATCGTGTGGGACGTAGAAAGCGGGAAGGTGCTACAAAAGTTTAGAGGACATGCAGGTACATAGCGACGAGTCCACATTTGTTTTTGTTAAGTAATTTTTTTTTCCTAGGAGTCATTAATTCCGTAGATCTAAATGAAAATTCGAACGTCGTTATTTCGGCGTCCCAAGATTCATCCGTTCGAGCATGGGATTTAAACAGCCGACGACGAGATCCTATTCAGGTGAATTTTGTGTCTTTAGCCTTAGCAAGCAAAAGTAAAATATATCGACAGAGTACAGCCGTTTTATTTGTTATAAACACATCACAGCGATCACGTTCCCACTAGATCTACCAACCATTTTTTATTTAAATGACATGGTTCACAGTTGCAACGTTTATTTATTTGTATCTAAGGTACGTAGCAAGTTCATATCACTAAAAGTTTTTTGCGTGGTCGTCACTTGTTGTCATAATCATATGATGATCATATTATTATCATATCATAAGTATGACTGCAGAAACTCGATTTACGTTAATTTCGGCATGGCGGCACAGTCTCTAATAGATTTGCTTCGAACATTGAATAAGATGAGATTGATACCACTAGAGGACAATCTTTGTCTTATTCACGAATTCTTTTACACATGAAATTTATCAATCGTTCCTTCAGACTGAGATTGTTTAGTCTGAGCGTCGCGCAGAACTGAGAGGTGCTGGTTGGAATCATGATCGGAGTCAGTCACCTTTTTTTTATTCCTAGATTCATAAATGGGTTGCTCAATGAAGGAAGGAAACCAAAGACTATACGTTAAGCTTGCTACATGGTTTTAGGCTCTGCCTTTTAAATGAGACACTCTTAGTTAAGGGCATGGAAACGTAAATCAGTACTGTACTAATAGCTTCATGAAAAGAAGGGCGCCAGAATCTCTATTATGAAAATGTTATGAAGGCCCACATTTCAACGGTAAAATACTTTCTTTTTACCTCTGCCATTAATTTCTTGAACATTTCAAAGAATTTAATGATGCTTATTCTGGTTTTGAATGAGCCAGTCCACATTTTCAGTTTTCATGTTATTCATTATTTGGAGCAGCAGAGTTTCCAATATGACCCGTTCAAAAATGATTGCAAAAGATAAGAAACTTTTATTGTGCAATGAAGTCGTTATTGAACCATTTTTCACAGTTGAAATGGCTTTTGCTACCTAGAAGTGAGTTAGCTTCGATGATCTGTTAGCCTTGTTGTTATTTACATCTTTGTCGAACTTCTTGACCCATCGATGATGTTTGTTCCTTCTTTCATGCTCTGCAGTTTTCACCTGTACAATGTATGCTTACCTGAACAACGTATTTGGAGTTTCAGCTCGAATAAATGATCTTATATATAGATAAGATGTATATACATGTCATACCATACCGGTACGAACTTCTATTTCTTTTATCCTTGTTGCTTTATTTAGGTTATGGACGAAGCCACGGATAACGTCCTTAGCGTTTCGGTCAGTGAACATGAAATTCTCAGCGGTTCTGCTGATTGTTACATACGTCGCTATGATCTGCGGCAGGGAATGATGTTTTCGGATTTTGTCGGAAGTATAATTGGCTTCTAAAATGTTGCATAATTCGTCTTGAAAACCAGAAAAAAATTTCATATCGTAAAGAAAAAGTTTTGATAAGGCATATAAACTCAAAAGTTGTCACTTTTAATGAAGGAATATTTTGTCAAAGTTCTGAAAGCTAACTAAAACCATCCAGGCTGATTGTATCTGCTGTCTTGATATATTATGTTAGCTTCACTAGTTTTATATGGCATTACAAATTATTAATTACCAATTATGTGACACATTTGCTTTTATTATGTGGTAAAGAATAACTTCGCTCGCCGAATAGTTCATGAAACGGACATGTAAACGCTAGAGCTAGCTGATTTCCAGTGATGTACAAAATTTGGCGAGTTAACAAACATTTTTCTATAATTCTCATATTAAAACCATCCTAGACGCTGGTTTCTAACTATTTTTGATGTATTCTAGAGTCAGTCACGTGCGCTTCCTTTTCTGGCGATGGCCAATGCTCCTTGGTTTCATCTTTGGACTCTACCGTTCGCTTGTTGGACAACAGCTCCGGGGAGTTACTAGCAGAGTAACGCTTGCGTTGTTTTTGCCGTATGAATTTATATAATTGTTTCCTAGTTTCACTGGTCACAAAAACACGCAGTACAAATTGGAAAGTTGCATGCTCTTAGCTGATACCCACGTTCTTAGCGGTTCAGAAGATGGTAAAATTTACTGTTGGGATCTGTTGCATGGAAATCTGAAGTGTAAACTCAACCTTCCTGTTTCCTGCGCTGTGCACAGTCTTAGCCCTCATCCTGACAGCAAGTCTTTGTTATCGGCTGCGTTCAGTCGTGTTTATCTATGGACGTGTCCTGAAGAGGAAGATGAATCTGAAACATCCTGAAGTTCTGGATTAGACCAGACTTAGCCGTCCTGTCTGGCATTTGACGTGCAAAAAGAATCAATATGATTTTGAATGGATAAGATCAGAATGTGAAGAGAGGAACATTATTTGAGCCGAAGACAAAAAATGCGCACAATGATGTTGCCCAAAATTGTCATTGTAGCATTATCCTTCTGAACAGAGAGAATGACATTTGTCATCGTCATATTATGAAATTAAACGTTTTATGTATGTTTTGACCCAGTTTCTGTGTTTGCTAAACCATCAAAACTTTAATAAAACTTTACTTCCTTCTTTAAGAACACGACATGACGAGACAATAAGAAATACTCAGACAGCAATAAAATTATAAAAACCTATTAGTGTGTAAACTAAAATCATGAATTGACAGCTACGAAATTCTTGTTAGCCGAAGGCCACTTGAGAAATATAAGTGACGTATAGGAAGCCGTCTTCTTCACTGAATTCTCGATAAAGCTCAGAAAGAGTGGCGGACATGGGTACCACGGTACGACCATTGATCAGGAGAAATACTGACTCCATCTGCTTTATGTTCATGCGACTTCTTCAAATATGCAAAAAAATATTTGTATGGTAAAATAACGATTTGCGCAATAAGATAATATATAACATTTTTAACATTTGTTGCGCATGTGATGATTAATGTTTATAGCACATGCATGCTACATATGATATCCGTTATACGCATATTGTGCATAGTAAGATAGTTTATTGACGGTATAATCTACTGATACCATATATTACAAGTAGAATAGGGTTGTACATACTTTCCATAAATCCAGCCTCAGCGTACCGCTTGTGAAGAAAGAGAAATGATGTAGCAAAAAATTACAGTTCGGGAGATGAGTGGTCATTTTCCTAAGCTGTGATGCCCAGTTATGAACTTGGAAACGGTAGGCGGACAAAGCGACGATAGAGTTGGTCGACAAACTTCCTTATGTACATATAACGTATTTATTTTGGAGAAGGACAGAACCGAAGATTCCGGTAAGAATCATTATACTAAGAGAAACCTCGCCGAAACATTTTCCCTATGTATCTATGAAAGGGAAACGACAAGTCATGGTAGGTCGGATGAAAGAACCAAAAATGGAATGTTGCTCAGACTTGGATTGATCTCCTAACTGCTCTGAAAAAGAAGAACATCTGCCAGTACGGTGTACACCATATGTGATCATCATAAGTATCATTCGATGCATTTCTGGATGAAGGTCTCCAAAATATGGCCACAAATTTCTTTTTTATGTAATTTTTTCCATCTTGATCCAACGAACTTTTTCAGGTAACCCTGTCATCGATCTGTAGGTTCACGTACGGGCCGCCCGGTCTCTCCTGGAAATAGTTCCTCTACTAGAATGAATGGGAGGAATAGACTATGCTATTTAATGAGAGTTCCAGAGTTCCTTATGTGGCTGCAATTCGCTTTGAACCATCTGACAGTCTAGCATGATATTCAGCGGAAGAGGTAACTCTGCTATTGTACATATGTGAAAGAAAGCAAGCAGGAGTTTCCTTCATATTGTGCTGTTGACATATTTGGGACTAAGACCATCGCAGATGAGGAATGCTGTTTAACAGAAACATCTTTATGGATGAAAAGCAATCAGTGTCACTCCTGAAAGCACGAATACGGCAATTCGTTGTTAATTTATTTATATACTTCAGTTCTTTACCCTTTCCAATTCGGCGCCGTTTTGAGTGATGCAGGTGGAAAAGCGAAGCGATGTTTATTGAAGGAGGAATTACATTTATTGGGACATGATTTGCGGCCATCACGGATCACCGCTACCAGATCATCGAGGGACCCTTTTAGCTATAATCAGAAGCAGTACAGTGAAAACGAAAAACAGGGCACCGCTCAGAAATCCGGAGCTGAACTGTTTGTTAGATCAGCAAGGGTATATAAGTAGAGTGGAAGCCTAGATTTCCATCAACATTTTCCATCTGGGCAAAACTGGTCGGCAGACTTTGGGTGTAGGGCGGATCTTCATACCGATTGCAACAACTAAAGGAAATAACCACTCAGAACCTGCGCCCGTAATACTACAACGTACTTTATCTACGGCGCTCGCAGCACTACATGTTTGTAGCTAATTTGTCCTTAATGTCCCCTTGCCACCCAATGTCAAAAAGGACTTATCTGCTCACGTATTTTTGACAGACCGATTAATTTTCATTACGCATAAAAAAGGTCTGAAGTTTGAGAATCTTACCGCATCAAGTACATGGTAATAACTTCGGGAAATCGCGAAGTTCGAGTTACCTGAGAATAGTGATGAACTGTGAAACAGTGAGCTCGGGAGGGACGAGGAATTTGATCTTCCTGAGTGTAGGCAACGTTGACTCGCGCGACGACTTCTCAACAACTAGCTATAAAATAGCACGAAATAATGTCGTACGAAAAATTCGCATGCGTACAGGCAAACGCAGAGGAAAGTTGATTTTGGCCGCCGAAACTTCTGCCTGCCTTGCCTCTGAAACAAAAGAAATCACCGAAGAACAAGTGTTCAAAGCAAGCTCTCTAACCAAACGACTTCAGCGACTTGTACGAGGTTTTGTCCACAAGCTTCCTCCGTCTAAAGAAGCACTTGGTCAGCAACTGGCCCATCTCTCGTCTTCTGCACTACGCTGCGGCTGATTGACAAGTTTTTCGCCACTTCAGGCTACGAG